GCTGCGCGAATTGACTTTGTAATTTGACTTGTAAATAATGTTACACCATTAGATGAAGTAACATTCAAGAGTCACGTCATCCAAGAAATGCGAGCTTAAATAAATTAGTCATTAAGTGTAAGACGAGTAACCAGTATGAGCAGTGTTTTTCTCTCTACCCAATTATTGGGAGTGGATGGAGCAAAATTCCATGCATTATAATAGTGTGCGTTGAAATATCACGTGAAGTTAAAAGATTAGCGCTTAGAAGCTGCAAAATCTATTAACACTAAGTGAAAAGATTAGCACTTAGAAGCTACAAAATCTATTAACACTATGTGATAAGATTAGCGCTTAGTGGATGCAAAATCTATTAGCATTGCTAACTTGTCTAAGTCTGAATACTTACTGTTTCCACACTTGAGTGTGAGACATGAGGAGGGGCTTCTTTGTATGATTCCTTAGCTAGGCTAACGTTTTTGAATAATGTTTACCACTAAGCACAAACGTTGCAGCATAGTAATGAAAAGGTCAAGGCCGACAAGGATTCACTTCAATTCGCCTTGAAATTAGAGTAATGCTAATGACCCCAAAAGATTTATCAAAATTTTTACCAAATGTCTCACATGAGTATGAGACTTGTATGGGACCCACATTGTGTGGGTCCCACACCCATTTGAGATATTTAGCAAAAATTTTAATAAAATTTTTAGAGTCTCTAGCATTACTCGATAAACAAATATGGCGTAAGTGATTTTTTTTTAAGTAATTTTTTAGATAGTTTAAATTTAACAATATAAAAGTTAAAGGTACAATAATTAAAAATTGAGGATACAATAGCTAGGCTTTAATAAAATCTAAAATTACTATATAAAATTGACTTGAAGGTGCAGGGGATTAGCACTTACTAGTTAAATTTGCGACTTAGGCGCACTTGATATCTCCATGACATCCTTTTATGATCTAGTGAATATGAATTAGTCGTGAGTCATTACCTAGTTGAGCCTAAACCTTTAAAACTTGTCTTCGAGAACTCACACATCAAGATGATTAGAATTAGTTTATGACATTGGTCATGAACTAGTGGCTTATTATACTTAATCACATTAATGAGATGATGACGCGATGGTTTGAGTAGGCCTTCTCGGGCCCACTCGCTTATGACATCCTGCTCTCATGTGAATGTGTAACTTTGTTCGCAATGGGTGCGCACAAGTAAGTAGGAAAGCCGTAGAAGGTCATTTGTTTTGGCGCATTTAGTCCACTATGATATTTGTGACTAGATATGTGTAAGAGTATGATAACTAAGCCTCAATCTCGACACATTTATAGATTACGATACACATCGGAGTCAAGACTATTTGATCTCCCATAAGTCAAAAGTTTTGAGATGATTTTTGACATTGCACATATGAGGTTGAGATCAATTAGATAACAGCTTTCGTGCTTTTAGTTTTGACCAAGGTGGCGAGTATTTATTTGAGTTATTTTTAGAAAACTCTATGAAGAGAGATGGATGCTTAGAAAATTGATTACTCCTAGTACTCAACAACACAATGGTGTAGTAAAGATATGGAATTAAATATTGTTAATGTTAGGTGGATAATGGCGCAAAATGTTTCCCAATTGGAAATTGCACTAATTTGTTGCCTACATCCCTAACTAAGTGCCCTCCATATCAGATTTTACACTCCATTTTGAGTAATAGGTTAGCGGAGAGCCATCTATGGGCGATCTGTAACCGTTAAGCAACTTATCTTTATTTTACTTCTCATAAGATTGCGAAGTTAAGACCTAGGGTTCTATAGCGCATTATTGTATGCTATCTTGTAAACACAAAGGGTCGTGTGGCGCATTATTGTATGCAGTCATGCAAACCCTCCGGGTCATGTGCATATAGGTAAGCAGCTTTGTGGTAGTGTAACTAAGTCACATAAAGTTTTATTAGTAAAAGTGACGTGAATAGAGTTTTTTGGAACTTTATAAGATAGAGAATTCTAAACATAGCGCTCTATGTAGCCTAGTTGAGAATGGAAAGAAATTTCCAATATCCTAGGGACAGTGGGAGCGATGTGCCTATTAATGGATTATTCCATTAGAGAAGAATACTCTACATTCTTAGTTACGTGGTAGCGAATGTGAAAATTTTCCACGTCATCACTGGGTGATTGAGAAGGAAACATTCATGATTGCTCCGCAAGATGATAAAGAGCCTAGGATAATGCCAAAAGCTCTAGTCTCCTGTTTTTAGAAAGTGGATCAATGTTGCGCAGTTTAAGACAAAGTCTTTGACG